TATTGCATCTAATTATTTAATTATTACATCAGGTTTAATACAATATAGTTGTAATAATCATTACATAAGTTATTATATGTTATTTTTCAACAGAAAAAATTTTCGATATTAAAATTTTTCAGAAAAGAATTTTCAATATTTAACTCTCCTTTTCAATTTTTTTCAGAAAAAAAAATTTTCAATTAAAATTTTTCTTAAGTCTTAAAGAAATAAAATCTCGAAAATTTTACAAATAACAATAATATAATTTAAAGAATCCAAGTACATTTAACACGACACATTATTCAATTAAAACATTCGATATGAAAAATAATAATAAAATAACCGGCGAAAGAGTTGAAAGAGTAAAAAATAGAGGATTTAGCAGTGGTAACGGTGGCGGTGGTAGTAGGGACAGAACTGGTAATAACTCTAAACAACTTCATGAAGTAAGAGAAGGATTGGAAAACACCTCATCATATACTACATTAATAACATCTACAGATGCTGTTCCAGTTAATAAATATAAAATTAAAACGTTTAATGAATATCAGCAATTATCCAAATACTTTGAACAACAAATAAAGATATATAATGGAATAAAAAGATCTTTGGATTTATATATGATGAAAGCTAATGAGATTATGACGGAAATAAATGATTCCGATCTTACAAATATTCATCAACGGAACTTGAAAAAAATCAAGAAATTATTTGGTGATGATTCAAAGTGTCAAGAAGAAATTAAAAAATTTTACGAATTACAAGATGATCTTAAGATGATTGAGGAAGCATGTAAAAATGCAACAACAAATGGGATATATAAATGATGGTTTTGAATTAATTCTAAGTATATTCTTGTATATTTTAATTATTTCAATTATTTCAATAATTTCTTTCAATTAATTCTCAAGCATTTTTCTCTTAGTATAAATTCTTTTTATCAAATGCCAAATTAACTCGTTGAAATTACTACTTAATTAATATTTATAATAAGTTTGTACAATAGAAAATAAATTGTTAATTTATTTAATAAATTGATTTATACTTTAACAATTAAGCTAAATTATTTAGAGAAGAATATGATCGAGAGCGCAATATTGTACATACAGTATACAAAAAAAAACGCAAAAAAATCTTAGAAAAATAATTTTAAATTTTGTATAAATAATAAAAACAATTGCAAGAAAAAACTTCGGACCAAATCAAGGCGAAACATTATAATAATCATATAAGTAAATTAAACAAAAGTTTTAATTCTAGTTAAAATTAAATGAAGCAAGATTTTGATTTGGTTGTATATTATAATATTTATGGTAGTTTATTATAATGAAATGTAAATAATTATCGAAGACAGCATGCATATATTATTAGCATAAGTTTAAGCATCAAAATAATTTTATTAAAGTTTAAAAGGTTTATTTTAATTTGGTAAGCATATATTAGAATATTGTATCGAAGATACAAGAATAATAATAATTCTAATAATAACAACAATAATAATAATAATTAGCTAGTTATTATTTAATTGAATCAATATTACTTTCATAATTAATATATCGATCGATTACTAAATTCAACACTTTTCGAATATAAAGTCACATTAAATTAATATTAAAAAAATTTGAATCTTTAATGATTTCTTTTTAATCTTTGAAATTAGAATTGTTTGTTAAGATTTATTATTATTTTTATAAATTCTATTTTGGTTATCAGGAACAATTCCGATGCCATCTCGTTATTTTGTTAAAAAAATTCCAAAAATAAAATGTCAATAAATAAGAGATGCTAAGTTATTATCGACTATCAACATAAAATTATAGTCAAAGTAGTAGTTAAAAAGGCAAGAACATATTAAAAAGCTATATAGATTAATATTTATTTCTTTCGTTTATATCATTTAAATTTAAATAAACGAATATGTCATTATCATAATATAAAATTTAATTAATTTTGTGGTATAACTAAAAATAAATGATTAATATCATGATGATACAATATTATGTTAAATCTATTTGATTATTCTATTTATTTTATGTAATTTATTCATTTTTTAAGCATTTATCAACTGCAATTTTTAATAACAATTATAAATTAAACAAAAAAGAATCCCTTATTTTTTTTTACAAATTTTTTTATTTAAAAAAAAAGAAAATAATGAATATTTAATACTAAAAGAAAAAAAATGATATTTAATGATAAAATATATAAAAAAAAAATAGATATTTATTAACAAATTTACATGAAAAAAAAAAACGGAAAATTTTTTTGATTTAACCAACAACAGCAACTTAAAACTTATTCATTATTTATAAATTTATATTATAAATATTAAGGTTATTAATAATATTTTCATCATTATTTTGTTGTCTTTGTGGACGCGTTTGCTACTCCAACTTGATGCAATCAAGTTGGAGATTGTCAAAGTGTCTTCGAAATCTTTGATTTTGTTGTTGTTGTTGTTGTAATTGTAGTTGTAGTTATTGAAATTGCTGTTTTTGTTGGGTTTGTTGTTGTTGTTGTAATTGTTGTTTTTGTTGGAGCTGCTGGAGCTGTTGTAGTTGTTGTTGTTTGAGTTGATGAAGTTGTTGTTGGAGTTGTTGTTGTTGTTGTTGGAGTTGTAATTGATTTTGTTGCCGTAGTTGTTGGATTTGTTGTTGTTGCTGTTGATTACTTTTTCTTGATAGTCCGCGACCTCTTTTTTGTTGAATTTTGTTGTTGTTGATTATTTTGGTTTCTTCTTGGCCTTCCACGGCCTCATTGTGTGTTTTGTTGTGTTTGTTGAGCTTGTTGTGCTCGGTATTGAGATCTAGCTAAGACCATTATTAATTGTTTTTAAAGTTTTTATTGTGAAAAGTGTTTTATTTATGATTCTTTATTGAATTTTATTTTTTATTTTTAATTTTTAATTTTATAAATTTTTGTTTTTTTTTTTCAAATTGGATTTGATTAAAGGAAAAAATATTTGTTCTTATTTTTTGAAAAAATTCGAAACAAAAAAAAATATTTTTGATATCTAAATAATTCATATATTATATAATATTCATTACAATAAATATATTACAACTATTCTAATCTTCAAATATTGCATCAGATTAAATTTTTTTTCAATTCTGAGTGAATACGAAAAATTTTAACATATTCTTTTTCAAATAATAAGAAAAATTTCCATATATGCATAGCAGCATGGCATTTATTATTTTTTCATTATTTAAAAAAATGCTAATCCAAATAAATCATGTATACAATAAAATAAATAATAATAAGATTTTTTTAAGGTGCATATTTTTTTATATTATTTTTTTAGTGATTGAAATAATATAATAAATAAATTCATCAATTATATAGTTTATAATTATAAAGTTTATATTTATAGAACTGTAATTCTGGAAATCACTAAAACAATCGTCTCTTTTAATAATTAGCAAAAAGTAATAATAGTCACATTATCATATTGTTTAATTAATATATTTGATTGATAAATTATATAATACTTATAAAATTATAATAATTAATAGTTAATAATAAAAAATTATTAGTAATTAATAACGATATATCAATAGAAGAAGAGGAAGAAAAATTATCTGAATCAAAATTAGTTATATCATGTTCATGTAATAATATTTATTTATTTTTATTAATAATGAATCAAGAAATTTATCAATCAAAATAATAAATATTCTCATCTAGCACATAACATATTATATACAGCTTTTTTTCTTAAATATAATAATATGAATAAACCGAATGAATTAAACTTTTTTTTTTATTTAATTAATGTTACATGAAAAAGAATTTGAATATTTTACTTTATTTATTATTCTAAGTACTGTGACACATATTTTAGCTTTTTTTTATTATATTATACATTATAATAATTAATTATAATTGTCCCTGACCTTGAGATCAGATTCCAAATTTATCGCTTCAAAAATTCATGATAACATGATAACAGTGATACAATATAACTTATGTAATGAACGTTTTATATCGAATAATAATTTTTAATGAGTCAGTTTTTCAAAAAAAAAAATGACAATAAATATTTTATATAGATATAGAATAATAGATATCAGGTGTTATCGGTAAAAAAAAAATAGATATGTATATTGGTTTGCAACAATCAATTGAAACAAATTACTATTGTATTTTAACTGTATAAAAAATAGATTTACGATGACAAATATTGTATTAGAGTTTTCTAATGTATCATAAAACATTTAATTTTAATTATTTAAAAGTATGAATTCAATTACTTTAATTAATCAATAATTCAAAAATTTATTATTAAAAATAGTTTATTCGATCAATTATTTATTTCAAACATTTTAATTATTACATTCAATATATCATAAAATAAACTTCTTTTTGGGAAAATCAATAGCATTATTTTTATTTATTTAAATTTTTGATCACAAGGAAAAAAAAATATGCACCTGAAAAAAAAAATCTTATTATTATACAATAGGGTTGAAATGATTATATAGAGAAAATGATTAACAATTATTTATTTTTGCTTGAGCGAATATGGAAATTTTTAATAATAACAAAGAATCATTCTGTTGAAAAAAATTTTAATTATTTAACTAATTTTCAATCTTAGATCAGATTAAAATAACATAATATATTTTATTGAAAAACGTTTAATATTATGTAATAATTGTATGATTTATATATATAAAATATTATTTACATATTATTATTGTGGAAACTAAAAAAGGAAAATATTAATGTGAAATAATTGAAATAATGAAATTTTTCTTTATCACTATGAAATAATGAAAAAATTATCGGATGCCAATTAAATAATAAAAAAATAGGAGGAATCAAGTAATTATAAAATGGGTTCAATTTTTGTCAGGTTTTCATTTTTCTTTTCTCACAATTAATTTTTATCACGAAATAATTGTTTTTCATCCAAAAATTCACTTTGATCTTACAACATTAAAAGTTTTCATACCTCATATTAAAAATAAATTTTACT